CTTGGCTGAAAGCTATTAAAAGGCTAATTATTGTAAAGGGTACTCTGGTTTGTATCCCCGGGTGTCCCAATATTTGTCTTCCTTTAAATTAATTTTGAGACACAGGTGTTGAAGGCAGCCGTTGTTGAAGCGATCTGCCACCAATCGTACTGCAAGTTGATTCTGAATGTGAGAATAAGATGCTTCCAACGTTTAACACTTTGATAAGACGTCTACAGGAGGGAATGGCATTTGAGATCGTGGCTCAGAATAGCGGTGCTATGCCATCAAATGTCTCACCACTGATTAGATGAGTGTCCTACCACAGTCTGTGTGCATAGATACCCACGTCTTCAAGCACATCCATTCATCACCGAGCATGCACCAACACCATTACCTGTCAGTCTGGCCTACGGTGCCTGCACCAGCCCAACAATCGGAACACATTTATCACTGTGTTTGCCACCAACAGTACCGACAGGGTAGTGCCACTGTAGTACGCGTTACTTTAGACGCCTCAATTGAGGCTTCAGCGTTCCTCGTATTTCAGCTTCTTCGGCAACTCTCTTCGTCCACATGCAAAGTTTGTTTGTCACTGTCCCCTAATCACTTCTCGCTTGTAATTGGGATTTTACTCCTGCATTCACTCGTCGTGATCCCCTCACATTTTTGTTGAGTCAGCTTCCTTTCTCCCGGGCACATTTTCACCCTTGCCTTTATGTGTAGGTATTATTGTCTCCATCCAACATCCACTTTCTAATTGGCATTGTTGTCATTTCAAATTGGTGGATGTATGCCTTACTTTCGACAACAAAGCCCAACACATTCGAATCCGTTTAATTATGTTGTCGTGTGACCTTCATGCAACACAAGTGGAGGGGCAAAGTGTGCCACACTGAAAACAAACCACACTGGACGATTTACATCCTTCACTTTGATGTGAGCTTAATCAAAAGTGGTCATGGCTTATTTTGAAAACATAGTCGCAAAATCTCAAAGGATTTAGATGTAAACAGGAGATTACGTGACCAAGATCACTGAACGTTGCGGCAACAGGTATGTGCAGGGGACGGGTGCAACCATCACCTTATCCATTTGATGAGTGAAGGTGACAGTAAAAAGCGAATCCTTGTATCTCCTCAACTGTTGTGCTTTTTAGGTGTTAGTACTCTACAAACGCCGCTATTAATTTGGCCCATACCTTAGGCCTAGAATCACTGAACGACGAATTCATTTTTACACCTCTTCTGAAAAGAGAGAATAGGTGAGAAAACAGAAACAGTAGTGCTCAAAACTAGTTGTTTCGGCAGAAGCTGGCTAGTAGTCCAGTTGTTATTGGAGCATCCGAATGATGTTATACATTTTGCAATATTGTACCACCTCAAGTTGCCTCCGGAGCAGTGATAGGCTGTCGCGGTGGAGAAGAGGAGAGACGGAGTGCGACTGGGTATGGATGGGGGCGTCTAGACCCGAGTACGAGGAAGGAAGCATGCAGACAAAGTTGTGCGCTGGTAATCATTTGGCCACTTAACCCGTTCACTCCTTAGAGCACCGTGCCTAATGCTGACTACGGTTACACTTCTGCTTCAACTGCAACGCGTCTTCCTGTGGATGGTTACTAACCCTGAAGTAGAAACGAAGATGCCGCAATGGATCCGCATAGCAGAGTAAACGCTTTCCAGTTCTGTGGCGGTGGTGGTGGTGGTGGTGGTGGTATTAGTAGTAGTAGTAGTAGTAGTGTCGGGTGTCTAGGATTTGTGTATTTTTCGGTAAAATCCGCAGCAATGGCTGTATAACTCGTAGGAACTCGTGAAGTGGATTTGATGGTTTATGTATTGCATGAAGTATGGGTGTGCATCAATTTGTCGGTGTGGTGCTCTATTGTATTTAGTAATATCCTTCTCGCATTACAAATCTCACTCATGAAACGTCGATCGACGCTGGCGAATGATTACACTTTATTTGTCCTGCGTAACGAGCTTACTTCGGTTCCAGATCTCCAACATCTTCACCCATAGCTTCATGTATGTCATTTGGAGGAGGTACAGGATGCTCATTCTAGAGTGTACTGACCGGAACCAGATGGGTGAAGAATGCGGTTGTAGTGGTGAGAGATGCTTACATTGCAAAAGAAGGTAGTTTTGTCTTTGCGTAGGATGGAGAGGTAGGTACCGAGAAGTGGAAAGTGGGTTTTGGAAGAGTGGCACCCATGGTGGTGACGTCAGTGTAACGGCATGTGATGGATACACACGCCTTCAGCTATTCCCAAAGGGTGTAGTCACCACCTACCCCAAAATTTGAAGACACATGCTACTTCATCCCCAACTGACCCCACCGCAGTGGAATGCAGACTCTACCGTTTATTAGGCCAAACGATAGCATTTGAGGGATGTGCAAACCGATGTGACTCGAAGGTGTGGAAGGGGAGCATCAGTTTTGAGGAAAAGCATGTGGTCAAGTGAGTTAGCGGATCGACGGTAGTGTATTTCATACTCATTCCATTTCAGCGCAGGACCCGAATTGCCGATAAGTTGTAAAGTTGTAATGGGACAGGGAGGGAGATGCTGCCTCATCATCGTCCTCATCCTCATCCATCTCCTCCGTATTTGTTAAATGCTTTCGCACCAAGTGGTAAATGGCACCTTTGCTTGGCATTGATAATGGAGGGTCACATGATCCAAAATGAAACAGACAGTAGATAGGATGGGAATAAAAGTGCTATAAAAGTGGAGTGACAAAAATCATTCTGTGGTGGTGAAGTCTGTAGCGGTCTGCATTGATCATAAGGACAGTACTTGAGATACAA